GATCTACAGGTACAGCTTGAGCTATATCCCATTTGCGAGGTCCATGGTTTCAAAGACAATGGTATCTTGTTTCGACATTGAATTTTAATCTCATGTCTGGAGATGATCTTGGATGAATCCGCCTCTGCAATTTCATGTACATACAAAGAAGGGAGGTTAGTCCTGATCCATAAAACTGAAGTATGTGATATATGTCTATCTATGTATCGACTAGTAAATCTCAAAGACGAATTTCCCTTCTGCTGCTCTTAAATTTTCTTGGATATGACATGAGATGTTACTCTGATCATGGTAGTGAGAACTTGGTTGAACAATTTTTTGGGTGTTTGCGTACATGTTGTTAAGCGATTTTAATGCGATGCAGATTATTCTTTCTGGTTTAGAACAGAAGGTGAGGCGTTGATCATGTTTTATTAATCAATCAATGACAGTGCAATGTATGACGTGGTTTCAAATCTACTTGTTTATGTATGTATACATATAATGCACATATAAACTTGACATCCATACTCAAATTCGGTACCTGAACATAGTATTTTTTGTTCAAATTTATTAAAAATGGTAATTATTTTGGTTTAAATTTGGCCTGGAAACAATTCACACGTTATGTTCATTTATTTATTAATCGAACGAACATGAATAAAATTTTATGTTCGCTTAACTAAACGAATGAACACAAACAATGGCTCGTTCGTGAACGTTCAGTAATCAGTTCGTTTATGTTCGTTTGTTTATATTTAGCCGAATCTCCAAACCCATTTAAAATATTAAGATCTAATAAATTTCAACTTAAACCCAAAATATTTTAAAACTTAATTAATTTTAAACCCAAATAAAAAATGCCCACACCAGTTAAAGAAAATATAAATCCTAAAATTATTTGGAAAAAAATCTCAAATTCAAATACAAATCCAAATAATTTTATGTTTGTTCGTTTACGTTCATTTACACTCGTTAGTTTGTGTTCATTTATTATTTTAACGAATGAACATGAACAAGTTACATTCCTTGACGAACGAACACGAGCAAGAAATTTCGTTCGTTTAGTTGTTCGTGTTCGTTTGCTTGTTTGACTAAAGTTAAATGAATGTACATGAACATACACTCATCCATGTTCATTCGGTTCGTTTACAAACCTAGTTCAATTTGATTTAAAATGGTAAGTAATTTGGGATAAATGGGTTAAAAATGGAAAGTTTTTTGGGTTAAAATTGGTTAAAAATAGTATCAATTAAAAAAATAACTTCACGTACAAAATTGAACCAAGAAATTAATTTCAAGTACGTAATTGGAGTAGAGAAAATTATATACAAATTGAACCTATTACCTATCTAATTAGAAAAAAGAAAACCTTTATGCCAAATTAAACCTTGAAATTAAATTCATGTATCAAAATATATATTAACATTTATATATATGTTCTAGAAAAAGGTACTATATTAATCCTTACACTAAATTCAAATATATTTTAATCCTCTACTTGAGGGGGAAAAAAAAGCAAACTGGTCATTATACCTAACAAAGTAAACAAAGTAGTATTTCCGTTAAATTTTGTCTAGTTAGATACTTATTTTGGTGTTATACATATAAGATATATTAATAAATATAACCTTTTAAATTTTATACAGTTATTCACTTTGGCCTAATGTAATTTAAAATATAATACGGAAACTTCAATGTATTTTAAATTAATCATTAGTATCCTATATATTAATCGATTAATCTAGATCGGATACTGCGGAAGCGAGAACGATTGTTCCAACCAAGTTTACTCCATACGCAAATACTAAGGTTCAAACCCCTAATCATGCTTAAGTAATTTAGTATCTCATCCTACTAGATTAACTATTTGTTGGTGAAACTTAAATGTATTTTGATAATAAATTTCGACAATTTTAGTACAAACCATATAATCGGTGGCGTTCATCTTTTTTTTCTCCTAATTTTTTCTTAGTTTTTTTCATTAGTAAGTAATTATTTTCTCTTGTTAATGGGTGACGACACCAATTTTAATGTTAGTTGCATACCATTGATATTTTTTATCGTCTTTTTTATTTTCTCTTGTTTTTTTATTTTCAATAAGTATATCTGTATGACACATTTTTCTCTGCCTTTATGACACATTTTTTATTTGGATATTTGTTATGCGTTCACAGATAACTTTTGACATTGCTCGAGTTTGATTTGCGATTTCTCGTTGGTATTTCAATAGCTTTATTATCTTTTGTGGTTTGTTTGTCGATGCGATCAGATCTGTTTGTATCTATCTTTACTCGAGTTTTCTTAGTTAAATTTTAATATTTCCTTATATAATTCGTATGTGATCTTAAATTGCTATTTTATTTCAATGATGATAAAAAATTATTCTAATGTACATTTTAATTTACGACTATTTCTAAATAAGGATTTTATTTTAATAAAAAATAAGCGGATATCATGACAATTAAAACCGTGTTGGGGCCCAGCTGAGTCGCGGCCTATATCAGAAGACCAATAAGTTCAAATTCCACAACGCCCTAACGGCTCGCTCTCTCTTCCTCGTTTTTTTCCTCCAACGGCGCTCGTTTTACTCTCTGTGTGGGTGCGTTCTCCTCCTTTTCCCCGGCGACTCTCTTTTGCCCACAACTTCTCTCTCGTTTTGGCGCCGCTTACTCTCTCTCTCTCTGGTTCTTGCTCGGTTGTTTCTCCGGCGGCTCTATTTTTTCCAGGTGATTTCTAAGACTCCTTTTTTCTTCATTCGAATCATACCTGGTTGTTTGCTACAAATGCCGGTGTCTGTTTTAATCTATTTCCCCTTTCTTGTTTTGGTTTTCCTTTATTTGGGATTTTGAGATTTAAATGTATTTGAATAAACTATATTAGACTCTGGGTTGTATTTGCTTGTAGCCTAATAATTGGCCTCCCTATTTGTAATGACATTGGAGCTGTTGTAAATAGGGGTTTGTATCATCGTCAACCGAAGGAGGCTCTGGAATTATTCTCAAAACAGCTCTTCTGGGTCTGTATTTTTTTTATATTCTTTATTTAAATTATATTTGTGTTCCCCTATAATTTGATGAATTTATCCATTTCTAAAATTTTATAAGTTTATTTTATAATATAAAATTTTACTAATTAATTTATAACTTAATAACTAACTAATAACAACCAACCATCAACTAATTTCTGTAATTTTGATATTGTTTTTTCTTCTATGGGATGCTTTTTGTGTGGTTTTCTTTCTTTTTCATCCTACTTATATTTTTATTGTTAATAAAACCTCATCGATTTAAAAAAATGAGGGAAAATAACAAATATAACATGATATGTATATGAAAATACAAATAAGATATAAATGTCTTTAATATTCCAAAAAAACATGATATAAATTCATGAACGTTAAGAGAAATGACATATGATCGGCAAACTGAAATATAAGCTGATAAAAATCAGGAACGGTGGAACCCAAAAATGACATATTACAAGAAATGCACATTCTCATATTTTGACACCAACTTCTTCGAAATCTCCTTTTGTTTTTACAAGAGAAATGGAAATTTGGGAAAGAATAAAAGATGTAGGACAAAAATAAAAGGGTAAATTACGAGTTTAGTATCTAAACTATTACTTTAATTCCATTTTGGTACTCAAGCTTTATTTTTTTCAAAATCATACTTAACGTTTAGTTTATGTTTCAATTTGATACCCTTCGTTAAAAATTAATAGTGATGTTGATGTACCACCATAAGGTAATGGCACATCATCATTAAAAATATAAAAAAATGTTACATAAATAGTTCTGTTAAATTTTTAATGGCAATGTACCAAATTAAAATATAAGCTAAATGTTAGGTACAATCTTTAAAAAAAAAGTTTGGTTATTAAAATAAGATAAAAATAAAAATTTTAAGTATTATACATGTAATTTACCCAAAATAAAAAGGAAAAAGGCTTCCTTAAATTATATATATTTCAATAGATTTTAATTTTTAAAATCTTTAAATTAATAATACTTTTTAAAATTATGAGATGATGATGTGAGACAATCCCAAGATGGGTCATATCATCTCACTTAACATCATTACAAAAAAAGGGTCGATATGTTTGACGGTATACAAGGGGCCAATATGAAAAAAAGTTGAAGGGCCGCTTTGTGAGAAGCATACAAGTTCAAGGGTCATTCGTATAATAAAGCCTTAAAAGTATAATTTTAAGATTTTTATAATAATGTTGATCGTACATAAAACCGTACATTATTAATCCATCAAATATTTACTAGTATACAATAATTAAAGAATATGACTTAAAATAGTTACTTTCATATTCGAACTTTCGTAAAAATTAACTCTCTTCATAAAATTGTATACTTGAATCATTAGACATATAGTTTCTTTTATCGTGATATAATAAGAATTTATACAAACAATATTGAATACTAAAAAAATAAACCATACAAAAAATTTAGTTTGTGTAACGATTTTGTCACTAAATTTAAAATCTCTTCAGTTATGAGTTTAATTTTAGTTTATGTATTAATTTGGTCCATACAAAATATCATCAACCCCTCTAATTATCGTTGGTGGTCAATTGTCGCCCTTCACGGGTTGACATTAATAGTAAAATCGATATATAAATGTTCGCATTTTACTCCTCTTTCTTCTCGTCAGATTGATTTTCTATAATTCTATTTTAAAAATGATAAATTTACATTCAAAGGTTTAACATTCTAATGCTTTAGTCTCTTTTGAAAATTGTATCATGAGATTAGTTTAAAGGTACGATATTGTCTTATTCGAATAATGTTTCTTTCCAATTGAATTCCGAACGAACATCTCATATCATTATAAATGAGAAATCTCTCAAACCATAAAAATTAATGAAATTTTTGTGGTTAAAACATTATAAACAGGGGTTTGTATCATCGTCAACCGAAGGAGGCTCTGGAATTGCACTCAAAACAGCTATTTTGGGTATTGGACTTTGCCCAAATCTATATTATTTGATTTGGATTCAATTGGGTGATGGGGAAGAACTCGTTGCCGCCGGGGTTCCGATTTCATCCTACGGATGTTGGGTTAATGATGTACTTTTTGAAGAGAAAAGTAAAGGGGAAGAAGCTATCTGTCAATGCCATTGCTGAAGTTGATATGTATAAATATGCTCCTTGGGACTACCCAACCTCTCGTATTTGAAGACTGGGAATTTGAAGTGGTTCTTCTATTGCCCTGTTGAGAAGAAAGGGACTAGGTCCAATCGTGCAACTACAGATGGTTATTGGAAAACTACTGGATGGGATAAGCCTGTGAACCATAATAACGAGGTTGTGGGTTCAATTAAGACTTTGGTTTTCCATCGCGGGAAAGCACCACGAGGTGAGAGAACAGATTGGTTAATCCATGAGTATAAACTCAAGGAGAAAGGCGACTCTTATGTCCCCTGTGTCCTTTTCAACAAGGATGGTAAGGGCCCAAAAAATGGTGCTCAATATGAAGCACCATTCAAAGACGACAACTCTCCTCCCATCGTGTCTATCCTAGAAGCTGCTGGTAACAAATGTCTCTGATAATTTGTCTTCTGTTCCAACGTTCGAGAATCTCAATGATAACGATGAGGAGTTTTCGGCCATATTGACATCATTCGTAGATGATGTCCATCCTTCCAAATATACACTGTAAATTGATAGTTTTTCTATAGCTTTTCAAGAATGATGAATATATACTGCATTATTTCTTTGTTCCCATCTTATAACGATGGTGATTAACAAAGTGCAGCTAGCAATGAGGGTTTTGGTGTAATATGGTTGCTCATAGGTTAGCTTCTTGGGCACTTTGTTTTGGACAGTTAATATTTTTTTGACTCGATTTGTCTCGAGATAATTACTTCTGATGTATAATTTATCTTTATCTATAGAATACAAACACTTAAGAAAAAGGGACAACGTAGCATATAACAGGTTAAATAGTAATAAAATAAAAGAGGGCGAGTAGAAATATGGTGCAATTTCCTAAAAAAAATATGTAGCGCCGGCCTGAGCATCTAAGCTGTCACAAGACACAGGGATGAACCTCGTTTTTTCCAATTATAGTTTTGTAGTTGACAAATTATGCCGGAAAATTTAGCTCTTAAAACTACCTATGTGCTAATTAATACTAAACTTCCCTCTGCTAATCAACTCAACAACATGTTCAAGTTTCACCTCTTCCTTTTCCAAGTTTCTGCAATTCTCTTCTTCTCACACCAATTTTGTTGTAAGTATCTAATTTCACACAATTTGCATGTTCTAAATTCATCTTCTGCAATGATTCAGATGGCAAAGTGATGATGGAATACATTGGAGCCACAGGCGCACCCGTAAGACTCGACGCTGTTCCGATCGAAGATGGCATCGATTTCCACTTCCTACTCAGTTTTGCCATAGATTCCGATCCCTCCGGTAATTCCCAGAACGGAAAATTCTCCCCATTAGGGCAAGCGCATTAACCCCGGAATCCATTGCAGCCATCAAGCAAAGTCACCCCAATGTGAAAGCCTTAGCCAGTCTTTCAGGGTGGAGCATAGGCAACAAAGTCCTCCGTTGGTACAACCCCGTCGACGTCCAACGATGGATATCCAACTCCTTCTCGTCTTTGTTGTCGATATCTCGACAATATCATCTCGACGGCATCGATATCGACTACGAAAACTTCCCAAGACGTAACTCGACGTTCGCTTATTGCATAGGTGAACTCATCACCCTCTTGAAGAACCAAAGTGTCATCTCTGTAGCCACCATTGCTCCATACCATAAAACAACCGCACCTTACATTGAATTGTTCGAGAAATACGGAGAAGTGATCGATTTCGTTAACTACCAGTTCTACACCGATAAGGTAAGAAAACCCAGATCTTATGTTGAAGCTTTCAAGCTTCGAGCTGGAGAGTTCGACAAGGATAAGTTGTTGGCAAGCTATGAAGTGAATGGGAGGGGAATTCAAGGTGACGACTTCTTTGCTGCTTTGAGGCTTTTGGAAGCAAATGGATTTAGTGTTAATGGAGTTATGATCTTCTCTGCTGATGCTTCTTCCTCTAATGGCTATTACTATGAGAAGAAATCTCAAGATTTCTTGCTCAATTCAACTGTATCACTGTGAAAATTTACCTATTAATTCTCATGTACTACTACTATATCACAATACAATTATCTTTATATAACTTTGAAATTTTCTTTCTTAATTTGCATTTTAAACTATGAAACATAGTTTAATGTCAGAAAGATAAGGATATTTGCAAATTTTATTTTTTAAATAATAACTTGTTGGATGATATGATTATCGATTTATTATTACATTTTTTTTATTTCACGGATTAAAGAGAATCTTATTCTCTCTAAAAGTTTTGAGTTCGAACAGTTACGTTTGCAAGTTGTGTGTGCGTTTTTTATGGTTAAGAAAGATTCTAAATAAATATTACCTGTAATCACATTAGACTATTAAAAGAAAAGAGATAATTTACATTAGTTATACATCATTACTGATTTTAGTATTATTATTTTTAAATAAGTATTATTATTTTTGTTTTGGTTTACAGTAATTATTTTTTAATTGAACTAGTTTAATTTAGAATAAACTTTTTATATCTAAATTACGAGAACTTTTAATTAAAATATAAGTTAATAACATTGAAATCTACTTTTTAAGTATTTGTTAATTTTTTGATTGAATTTAATTTGGTTAATATTATTATTGATACAATATACATTAGATGTGAAATTGATTAATCTTAAATATTCAATTTCCTCCGATTTATGACTAGGAATAAGTCCGTGATATAAATATTATTGAAAATTTGTTTTGTAATTTAGTTTTAATTTTAAATAAAACAATACAATTAACAACCTTGTTTAACTTCATTTTTTTTCTTTTTTTTCATTAAATTTAATTCAAAGAATTGATCATCGGAATCCGATCTATTGACCGACTAATTCAGATCAGGTACTGCAGAAGCGAAAGCGACCCTCCCAACCTAATTTGCTCCATTCGCAAATGTTAGGATTCGAACCCTTGACCTTGCTTAAGGAATAATACTAAATGAAAATTTTAACACTTTTTAAAATTTTCACACAATATAAAAGTAATTTTTTTAAAACCACTAAATGAATATAAATTAATAACTAAAAATGTTTTTAATTGACTTGAGTCGATCGAACACTCACCCTTATGTGATATATGTGTTTCGGCTGTGATTCAGCTGAACTATTTCTATATGAAATAATTGCTTCAATAATTTTTTATAATATTTAAGTGAATATTTGGTCATACATGTTCGTGTAATCTGTATGGGGTAAAGTGAAATCCCTTGGTTCACTCGGTGGTGCTGAAAGCCGGTGATAATCTATTGTTGTTGAATGTATAAATCATTACTACTACAATATAATTTTGTTCAGTTGCCATCGATTCTTTTTTGAAGTTTTCATTGTCTGTTTGCTTTTTCCACAAGATATATCTGAAATTTGATGTTAGACAATCAAGTTATCATGAGAGAAAAAATTCTCTTTAAAAATTTAAAAATTTTGTTCTCCGTTAATTAGGAAAAAAGAAAACGAGTATTCTTTGTTCAAAGAATAACTTCGGATTATACTCAAAAGTTCATAACTTGACCGTCTTACTTCCAACCAAAATATTAATCTAAGTGACAAAAAAAGGACAGTAAAGATGAAGGAAAAAAATTCATTCATTCATTTTTTTATTTTTGTTTTTGTTTTTATTGCTAATTTGTTTTTATCATGTCTTAAAATTTTATAAGTTCGCCCCACTTAACATTTTAGAAGTTGGCCATAAGATATTGTGTCCGTCCTTGACAACCCTAGCCTCTTAATCTTACACTCACTGGCCACCGACCGTTCACCTATTCCGACCATTGATGTAGCTGTTTTCACAATCCACAAACAAAACTTGTTGAAAAGCACAAACATAATATGCATTGCAGAGTTCTGAACTAATGTCCCGCTGCACTGAATCAAACACAAAAAAGAAATCTAATAATGTATTAAATCTAAGATTTCAGAATCAGATGAAATATCATCAACACACAACATATATGTGTGTGTATATATATACCACATGCTTCACTATTATTGCATTCTGTTACCTGACCAAACGAGTGAAAAAAAATTCACGACACACTTAGAGATACTCCATAAGATCTTGCTGGTTTTCCAGATCCCAGATTACCACTTTCCCGTCCATTCCTGTAATATTTGAATAGCAGAATAATGAGAAAATATGAGTCCAAAAGCTCCCAACTGAGATTATTCCTAGTCCTGAAAGATTACAGTTTCTAAGTAGCAAAAGCAGAGAAACCCACCTGAGGTGCTGAAGCGCTTTGTTTTAATACCTTTTTGTTTTAGAAGTTCAATACAACTGCAGTTCCAACAAGAGAATGTTTGCATCGATTATCCACTCCATATTCAGAACTATATCATATTCAATAATAACAAAATGGGCAGAGAAGTACTTGATGCAGTTGTCATGAGCAGCTCCCTGAATCTTAGAAGGTTCAACTGTATCATTGCTCAATCCCTGCCTTGATTGACCATAAAATTTGCCAAATGCTTCAGAAAACTGAAAAGAAATGACAAAATGCAAAAGCTCAACCCAAAATTATTCATGAATAACACTAAATTACCAGCGAGTTTCAGAGAAATGAGATGTATAAAAAATAGATGCTAGGGTTCTCAATTAGAGAAGTGTAAAAGTTTGCTGCATTGGTTTCTTTCAAAGATACCGAGTACTTCCGCATATCAGCTACCTCCATTCTCTTGAAGCTATAAAAATGTTTCAAGCAATGGAATCCAACCATCTCTTCATGCCTTCCTTAACTACTACAACACCACCCAACCTTAATATTTAATTGAACTTCAGTCTACTGTAGTCATAGAAATAATCGTTAAAATGGAATATAACTTTTCCACAACTTCTATAACACCCTTCTCTTCCTACCATGAAAGAAAGAAATAAAAAAGTAAGATTAAAATGATTTGGCTCCAAATCCTATGCTTAAAACTTTTCCCCATATTCTTGAGAGGACAAGGTACCATTAGGACAAAAAGGTGCTCGCAGCGACTTCATTTTCTTATTTTTCAATGCCAAGAACCAATAGTGTCCTAAAAAATAGGAATGAAAACAGCTATATTGGGGTTTGAGGAATAAGTAAAAGACATAGCTGAACATAAAAATTGTGATGGACTTTAATGCAATGGTAAATAATGTTCAAATGATATTAATTCAAGTACTCGTGTAGACCTCAAGAAATGGTGTCCGTGATTGCACAAGGGAAAAAATAAGCCACGGAAATAATAAGTTAGATCCTTTCCACGTGTTATCGAAGACGGTTCATTTTCAATTCACAATATTGGCACCAAAGAGTAAAATACTTGGATTTTCCATCTTATTTCAAGCTGCAATACTAGAGATGTATAAGTATGTTCATTTCAATATTGATATGGTAAAGTTTTGAGAGAGATTTTCTGGATTCATTCCCTTTTTCTGTACCAAACATCTCAAGAAAATAAAAAATATTCTATAAGTATAGCCGCAGGATATCTCCTGCAAATGGTATCAAAATAATTTATGAGAAATTTGAGATGAAGAACTGAACCAAAAGCAATAGGTGCAAGCTGGACTTAGGTCCCGTGAACACTGCCAAAACTCAATGTGGGGTCTTTTTACTCACCACATAACACTCCCCCTCCTATGTGGGTCAACATACCTGCCACAAGGTACATGCTTCAAGTTTAGAATTATGTGATTATATTGTGGCTTGGACATCGTATTTTAGGATAACAAGCCTATTATAAGGCGTCACCAAGTGGGAGTAGAGTCTGCTATGTTACCAGGGGAAACATAAATAAGGGTCTCTCCATCTATTGGCAATTCTGTTTCAGGATGGATTCTTGTCCTAAAATTTACCACAATATCACAACCAAGGTTTTTATGTTTCTTGTCATTCACATTCTTTGTTGCCCCTTGTTTGTTTGACTTGTTAAGCCCATTCACTTCAACTGTTAGTATTGAACCTACATGTAGGGTAAATGTTGGGTTGTGTTATGTCATTTCAGTTAAGTGGGCAATTGGGTGCGGTCTTATGTTAAATTTAGACTTATTGACCTACAGCCCCCTTGGTTGTAAGTTGGATGATTAAAACTAAGAATGGCCAAAGTGAATAATGAGACACCTTGATCTTGATGGTTTTTCACCTCCACTTTCGCTAAAACCAAATTCAGGAGCATACTAAAGTTTAAAAAATACAATTGTGTTTTCTCCACTGTAATGAGAATCGCTATTAAATGAGAATGACTAGAGTAATCATAGAGACACCTGGAAACATGATCTTCGATATTATTCTTTTAAAGATGTTCTTAAGATCTTACTGACAAGACTTTTGTTTGAGAACAAATAGTTGACACAGCTCAAACTAACGTTTAACAAATGTAATGATTCACTCAAGTGAATAGACAACCTGTTGATCTTATTCCTGATAAGAGCCCTGACAACAAGTTATCTACTTAAATAAACACGCCTAGAAGCTGTCTGTGTTGTTCTTAGAAGTATCTGCCTTTGCCCCTTCCCCAGCCTCACCCATAAAATCCACACTTACAGAATGAGAATAGCTAAAAGTATTTTTTTATAAGAATTTGAGGCCTCGTTAAAAAACCCCTTCATAATTGTTAGAGAGCCAAGAGGGCGAACTAACAAAAAGCGGAAGGGGGAAAAGAGCACCTCAGACTATATTGCATTAATAGGGGAAAAACATCCCAAAATAACATCCAGGTTGAAGTCACAACAAAACAAGACCCAAAACAGAACAAAAGCTTAACACCAAACTACCCTAGCGGTTAACCAGAATAGCTAAAAGTCTTATGATACAAATACCTGAGAACCAGATTTTGGACCTGATGAAGATTCTTTCCTTTCACCTAAGAATCTGATAAAGCTCCTAGAAAACAAGACCAAAAACCTTATTGATATAATGAAGCAAGTGTAGAAAATTAAAATGACAGAGAATCGCACATACCATAACCCTGATTTATCTGCTGCAAAAACCATTGGATTGCAGTCAAATCCCACGCCTATGACCAGTTTCTCAGAAACAAATAGGACCTGATGGAAATTCATGTTATTGCATAAAAATGAAGATTAAAATAACGTTTATGATTAGGCTCAAAATAAAGGGAAACAAAAGCAGTTAACAAGAGTGAACGCTGACCCACATCACGAAGAGGCAAATAACGGAATGCAACATTCTGGGCCAAAGGGGAAGGACCAACATCATCAACAAAGTAAATCATAGAATTATGACCTGTAAATAGATAAATGGTGGTTAAGAAGGATTCTTTTACAATCAGATCTAGGACCCAAAATAAATGTTCCCCCAAAAAGGTAGCTAGGGGCTTATGAAGTTATATCAAAATTTATGCATAACCAACTTAGTTTAGAGGTTTCATGCAATGAGGCCTTTTCCCCAACCAAAAATTAAATGTAAAGTTAGATTACTTTCCACCAAATTTCCCTCAACTAGAAACTAAACAAACAATTAACCAAGTCAATACAAAATTGGTAGTTTAAGGGGAATTTTTTTTTTCAAGTTAATAAATACCATGCCACAAACTTTATCTTTGGACATGACAAATAGATAGAAATATTCCTTACCTACGTAAGCCAAAGTACTGCCACTTGGCGACCAATTCACCCCAAATGCCCATGAAGATGACAGATCAAGCTGAACTATTTGCTGTTGAGTACGTGCCGAGAAAGAAAAAGAAAATGTTAACTCTTCTTTGCATTGACAAAAGGTTAATGAAACTCCAGAACCCCTGATTTCAACTAAATAAAAGATGGAATAAATAAGAATCTAAGCAAGTCAGTTAAGCAAAGACAAAGTAGTCGATATAAACATTCATGGGTCCATATGAGGCATGAATAATTTGGGAAACTGATTCAACTCCGCATTTCAAGAAACTCAGATACACAAATAATAAGAATTCAGCATTATTTCCTTCAAGTTAAATACTTGGACCAATTGATTAAACAAAACATGAAAGTTGTCCTTCCATGCTTCTACTTCTTTTGACACAAAGGAAGATATTAAGAATTAACTTCAAAATGTTGATTAACCTCTCAAATGAAAACTAATTGCAACTCTAATATGTTCTGCTTTTTCAGGAGTCAGGACATCAGTGTCCTGCTAGTTTCAATAAAAACTATAGTTCTGACTATGATTCCAAAACATGAGGCATCAAAGGATGCAACAATGTGTGGCTGTATAGCTTAATTAAGATTATATTTGTTTCTACTAATGAAAATTTTGACGTCACAGATTTTACCAAGATTCACTGTCAATGGATGAATGCTTTGCAACATGTTCAAATTATTTACAAGTTTTATAGAAAATATCATTCCCTGGGCAAAGACGAGATGCACTAGAGATAGAAAATTGCCAAAAAAAACCTATATGGCTATCATGGGATAATGTTTCCTTTCTAATTGGAATTGCAATTTTGACAATTGCAAACCATAAAATAAGGTTTGCTTGCCAAGGAAATTACCTTGTCATTCTGGACACTGATGTCATTAAACTAAGAAAAAAAGGTAAAAAAGTAAAATTCAAATTCAGATCATTCATCAATAAAGGCTATCCAGTTTCAATTTCAAAACATTGATGTTCATAAAAGAAAAAATAGATTGCGCATGGAACTGGACCTCCTAATCGCTAGAGGTTCAAATGACTAAAGAAGATTTTCCCTTTTGGCGGTTAATTGCACATTTTGCAATTTGGTGCATCACTAACATGGAAATAAGCAGAATTCTAGCCTATTACCCATATTCATCTTTCAAGATTTTAATAGGTTGAATTATTGTTAGAGTTTATAACAACAGCGAACATGGAAATATATGGATTAACAAATAAAAGTTCTGGAACCATTTTTCCTACATATCAAATGCAACCATTAATTATTGATTGCTAAAGAGGGTGGCATGAATGGTACCTCTCCAAACTTTGGATCTGAAGAAGTGCCTGTTTTTGATTCCCTGGGAAATTTAAAATGGAAACATGATACTAATGTGCCCAAAGAAGAATAATGGTAGTCTCCAGACACCAATATTTAGCATACCTTGCATCAACACCTTTGATAAATGTAGAAAATACTCGGCATTTACCATCTGTGGATGTTGTAGCAAGTAGAATCTGTACCAAAAAGAATTTCAAAATAGACGTAAGACTTGCCATTCTCTTCCAAAATATAGATCATATACCAGTTAACGAAACAGAATCTAAGAGATGAATTCAAAAGCATCTATTTTTTTCCCCAAATGGCATAGGTATGACGCTATGATATTCTGCAGGTGAAGACAAATAAAATTCTTAACATATGATATCTAGAATGTCCATTTTTTTACTTAAAAGGTTTCCTCAAAAAAATCAATGCCTCTCCCATTGATAGCTATAATCTAATGTATAGTATCCTACTTAGATTTTGATTTTAGATATATATACATAAAAGAAAACATAGACACGTATACATACAATTAACCAAGAATCCAAGATTTGTTAATCTGCTAGAAATAGATGGTTTTGGAATGGGTTTCTTTAACCATTATATTAAACATTAAGCTAATGTGCTCATGTCAAACATATTTAGCTTTTATCTTAAAATTCTTCTCCCTTAATTCTTTCTTTTCGATGCAATGCCATGGGAGTCAAACCAGACTCCATAATACATGAAGATAGATGAACCCTACCATAAGACAATTATCCACATCAAAGGATAAAGTTGAATAACAAAACCACCATATAACTACACTAAGAATTGAAAAAAGACTTCTCCAAAATGCTGTGAAGTGGGAAATACACACATTATTAGGATGCCAAGCAACACTTGTGACAGAGGAATTATGCTTTTTCCTGATTACTTTGCTTACCCACCTACAAACAACAAACCAGATAAGTATGTATGCATGTACATACATATATATATATAAACCAAGTTGGAGGATACTAAGAGAAAGGAGAGGTGACAACTGAAATGGAGCAACATATTACCAGTTATTATCTCCCTCATAATAGCAGATGCATACAGTTTTAGCACCACTTCCAACAGCGAACTTGTTTTCTTGAAGTTAAACGACAGGAAGAAATAAATTGGTTAGAGCTTTTGAATAATGGATCTACAATTACCAGAGGTATTCAGACCTCGACAATCATAAGAGCATGGACATGCAAGAATTATCAAAATAGGAGCACAAAAACAAGTTCTGTTGACTTCATTAGGAATTTTTTCTTATCAAATAACCCAACTGAAAATCTGAAGTCCTAGTCCACAACATAATTTATATTCTCAAAAGTCAAATGCCAGTCTATTTTATAAGCTTGAGAAGAAGAATCATTGTATACACAGCTAGAACAATGAACCCTGAAGTAATACGCATTTGACAAATTGTAAAATAATGGTGCTATGCTTTTTTTCTAATAACTGTTGAAAAGAAAGGGGGAAACCCCAATAAATAGACCCAAGAAAGTGCCAATCTGTGTATAAAGCTAATTTATTGCACAGTACAAAGAAGTGAAGAAAGACTAATAATGTCAGGTGAAATTATGTTTATGTACCTTTGGGGCTCCACTGAACACAAAGTGCAGCACGATTGAGCCTAAGGATGACGAGAGTTGGTACCCACTCTGGTCCTTCTTGGTTCCAAACATATCTTCAAATGGGATCAAAAATTTCAGAAGACAAAGAACACAATAACAGTGCTATAGAGAAGTGAAACAATATCAAAACAAGACAAGACAAACACGAGGATCATGTAGGCACTGTTCAATTGAATTTGTCCAGGCCAGGGAAAGAGAAACAGGATGTCCAAACTACAAAAATGTCATTTGTGCATGTGTGTGTCTGTGTTAAAAAAAAAAGATAATTACTCACGAATTCCGATCATGAGATACAGAAACGATTCTGTTTGACTTCTCACTCCAGTCTATCCCAGAAACAAGTTGATCATGCTGTGGAAAGACATAAGAAACATCATATTGGTCAAAAATCAAACATAAAACAAGAAAAATTTAACAAAGAAATGAATCATCATCCATGAATGTAGTGATTTCAACAACTAGATAGATTTTCATTTTGTAAGAAAATTCAGTAACCAAACATGAAGCTAGATAGAATTCCCTTCCAAAAGAACAAAGAAGACTAAACAGGCTTCTTGTCTTCAACAAGAAGAAAGTGGATTCTTCGAAAGATTTTAGACCGAGGAGCTCCTCAGGTTTTACTGTTAGTATGGTTCTCAACAGGAAAGCTGTAGTTTAAAGTGCTTCCATTATAACTTAGTGTTTCTCATATATTAACTTGTTCAAGGCATATCCAATAATTCTGGCATGGAAAATGTTAAGAATTCAAAATTTATTATTAAATATCAGTTCAATTTATTTCCAAACATTTGCATTCAGGAAGAGTGAGTTTGGGAATCTTGAAGTCTGATCATATTTTCCCAACCAACAACCAGGCTGCAACACTTCTGTTCTCACCTTTCAAGCTTAACTTTCTCACAACTTCTCTAATCCCTATCACACAATTCAGAATTAATCTAATAAATTTGCTAGTTGCATTAGATTCCTAATTCTGATTTCCATGCACATAATATTTCCTGTTCAGTTAAAGACAGAATCGGTATAAATGTGGTCTGATATCATACAATAAGTTGAAATCCAAATCTTCCTCCGTCTTCCATGCAGCGGTATTACTTCTATTTACTTATTAAGAAAGACTCAGATTTCAGACAAGATCCGACGTATCATTTCATATTTTCCTTTTCAAAAAACATTTATATTCTTCACCAAAAAAGAGGCTTCAGCTAGGTTCTAGTCATATCCAGTGCGAAAATTGAGGTGTCCCAAAAGTACCAGATAACATGATTCCAAAATGAAATTCCAAATAACTTTCGGAGATGATTTTAGAAATACTGCATAACTATATGGAATAAACCATATCTTAGTTGTTTATAGGGAAAATTTTGAATAAAGTACCTTCTGAAGAGCATGAACTTTCTCCCACTTGTCTTGCACCAATTTATAAATGTGAACCTCATTATTATTTGGGCAAAATGCTACCACTACAGGCAAGAGAAAAAAGTAAACTAAATATGTAGAAAGAATCAAAAGAAAACATAATCCCATGCAATTTAAAAGAACAAGGACCAAATTTTTAGTTCTAAAACATTAATTAATAGAAGCTTCAAATGAAAATATATATATTTAAAACCCGGAAAATCAATAAAAATTGGATCCATTAATTTCATTCTCCTCTTCAAATTTACATTCCTAAGACAAATATTACATCACAACAACATTAAACTCAATAAATGAAATTATTTTCTTTTTATTTCACAGCAATCAAACGAAGCATAAAGATGAAGAGAGGGAACGGAATTTCGAAATTAACAAAAAAGTGTATAAGAAATTACTGGATTGATCGGGACTCCAAGCATGGCAAGTGATGCACTGAGCGAACTGGTGAACTGCGACGGCCGCCATTTTCAGCTGATGATAAATTGATATATTGAGCTGAGAATGCGATGGGTAGAGATCTATGAAGAAGAGAAAGAACTGTGAAGCGATCTCAACTTCTGTTTTAAGTCTCCGTGAACAAACGGGCAAAGCTTGAATTGAAAGATAGCAATGGATTCGGGTTCACCCGCATCGGGTTTTGGGGGTTCAGGTTGATTTTCTTAGGTAAATTACAACTCAGGTCATGGTGTTATGAGAGTTTATAATTACATAACCATATTCCAATAAATCATAATTTAATTATTTTATTAAGGGATAGTAACAATCATGTAATTTTTCCATTAAGAGAGCAACAAATGATATTTTTTTAGTTATATTTGATTGATCAGATATAAATTTACTAATTGAATGACCAAAATGTAAACTTACTCACAATTAAGTGATTAAAATGTAATTAACAGAACTAACCTTCATTATACACTTAATAATAAGATGATATGAGTGTTGTAATCGACAAATAAAATGATCTGATTGTGATTTTTTTAATTATGATAACTTAGCTGTAAATTTACTCATAATATAATTACCTGTCTAATTTTTTAAATCGGTTCAATAGATTAAATTATTTTGAGCTATGGATGAAATTCTTTATCATGTTTTTTATAGTTTAGTTTTAGATGTATTTTAATTTTTAATATTATCTTTGCAAATATATTCATTTTTTATTCATTTATTAGTTATGATTAGACAGTAAAATAATTACAACTTTTATATATCATCAATTCAATTCATCTCTAAATAAAATAATTAATAATATGGAAATTGATGGATAAAAAGACATCATTACAATTTTTGCTAATTATGTTAATTTTCTAACCTCCATAGGATTTTATAACATAAGGCTTGTGTTCAATCTTTTATATTTTTCTCTCAAGCTTCCATCAAAATTTTTAATTATTAATTCATCCCCTTTTGACTATTTCATTTATTCGATTGACTCAACATTTTCTTTACATGTCACTAAACAAAAATTTAAAAATGATAATATACATTATATATATATATATATATATATATTAATAATTAAGAAAAATCTTAAATGAATATTATATTATATTATATTATATTATATTATAGTTACAGTCACAACTAGCAAAATTCGATATTAATTTTATGAATGATCTCCTGATTACAAGACAATGTTTTATTGAATCTTTTGATTATTAAAAGTTTTAAAATGATCTCCTACTATAAGATGTTACTTTATTGAGTCTTTCAATTATTAAAAGTTATAAAATAATCATCTAATTATTTATATGTTCCAAACTCGTATTTTTCTGTTAAAAAATTGATGGACGTCTAAGTTGGACATTAACATACTGATTGAGATATGATAAAATCACATTTTTAGTGATGTCTATTGGAATTGTCGTTGGTTCAAGCACTAGTTCGACGATATAATATTTCAAGCATTGACTCGACGTCATAATGTAAACAAATAATTAATCCACAAAATACAACTCAAACAATTATGTGATCATATTTTTATCATATTTCAGCGAGCAAATTAGCGTCTAATTAGGTAGTCGTCAATTTTTTAAAGGGAAATGAAGAGTTTGAAATATAGGAATAGTCAGGTGACTATTTTGTAACTTTTAATAGTCGGGGACTTAATAAAAAATATCTTATAGTCGATAATTATTTTATAACTTTTAATAGTCATACATTATTTTATAATTTTTAATAGTTGTAAAACTCAACAAAATAATACTACGATTGGGGATCATTTGTACACTTTTTTCATAAATAAAATACTTCTTTATTTCAACTATCACTAAAGATGAACAATCCCCTTAAGAGTTAAAGACCTTGAAACTCATCACGTTGTCGCACACCCATAATATAGTTTCTTGAATTAAACTCGTGGATAAAAAATTATGATTCTAAGTTATAACCAATTTTGTCACATCAAAAAGCATGAAATGAACCTTTAGGACTGAAGCAAGCCCTACACAGAAACAATTTTCTATTAAATTCATTGAAATGATTGTTAAACTTTTGAATATTATATCTCCAGACTAAAATGAAAAAATCACAGTAATTTTATTTAAAATAACATAAAGTTTTTAGACGCTAAACAATTTTTTCAAAAATAACATAAATCAGATTAAGAAAATATCTAGACTAAAATGAAAAATCACAGTAATTTTATTTAAAAAGAAGAACAATGCTCGTTAAATATTAGCATGAGTAGCAGGGAATTTTAAATTATTATATATAATTTTAATTTTTTATATTTTTTATTAATAATTTGTCTTTTTCCTCTTAAAATTTTATAAGTTCATACTCTTAAAAATTTAGAAATTCACCCTAAACATAAAATTATGTTTATGTTCATATGTATAACTCTTGTTTTTAATGATTAAGTGTATGTTTAAATAACGGCTAAACTCTCGAGATAAAGTTCTCGAACAAATTATTTAACGAGATAATGCTCTCACAAGATTAATTGTTCAAATAGGGTAAAATCTATAGTGTTGGTCGTAGGTCGCCATACACTCCTGGCAACCTTGTAGGTCGCCATGCACTCCCTCCTGCTCCTCGCGTGATTCCTCTTGCCCTCGGATGCCCTAGCATAGCTCGCTCGGATGGCCTCGGATGCCCAGCGTGTTGGAACGAGCATGGTACATGCAATCTCTCTCATAGCTCGCCGGGAAGACATGTCGACCTAGTAGGTCACCAGATGACATGGCGACCTACGGCCAACACTTTAAATTTCACCCTATTTGAACAATTAATCTTGGGAGAGCATTATCTCGTGAAATAATTTGTTCGAGAATTTTATCTCGAGAGTTTAGCCTTTAAATAACTCTATTTAAATATTTAAAAAATCAATATTTAAATAATGTAATGAATAAAATCGCACACTTTTTAGATGATACATATATTTTTTTAAATATGTCATTTTAAATATATATATTTATTGAATTATTAAAGATAAAACTCACATTCCCTTACTAATGTTGCACGGCTTGACAGGTGTACATGATGCTTGTGTGTTTCTTTTTAAAAAAATTATTTTGATCTTCTTAATTTTGATTTTTTTTTCATTTTAATCTTTGCAATTAGAAAAAATTAAACTAAAGTTGCCGACAACCGTCGGCAATTCCAATAATGTCACCAACAGTTACCAACGATTTTAAATCCTTTTTTTTTCAACCAAGACACGACCACTTTTGAAATTATTGTAGATTTCACCCTAATTCTTTAAATTATATCCCCGGATCCATATTTATATATTTTTTAACTCTATTTCTCTAAATTTGGCTACTCTTATTATATATGTTACAGATTATATTTTAATTACTTTTAGATGATTATTTCACATATTAATTCTCTCAAATATATATATATATATATATATATGAAGTATAATTTCAATTCCCCAAAAATAAATCATATATGATTGTACCATAGTGACCTAGTAGATCCTGCAAATGCGATAGTGATTTGTATGTAATCTTCTTCGTTATCTCATAAAATAGTAGTACTAATCTTTCCGCTGAGCATTCTCAAACAACCAAAGCCACATACATCCCTTGCTCGATAGCCTCACCATTGTGGGCAGCTTGCTTGCTTTCTCATGGCAGCAAATCAGCTACCAGAACCGTCATGGGAGGAACTGCTCGGTAGTAAAAACTGGGACTCGCTTCTCGATCCTTTTGATCTCTCACTTCGCAAGCTCATCCTCCGCTGCGGTGACTTCTGCCAAGCAACATATGACGCCTTCAACAACGACCAAAACTCCAAGTTCTGCGGCGCAAGCCGCTATGGTAGGTCCTCTTTCTTCGACAAAGTCATGCTGGAATCTTCCTCCGATTACAGAGTCGAGTCATTTCTCTATGCCACTGCTCGCGTCTCTCTCCCCGAAGCCTTTTTGCTCCACTCCAGGTCAAGGGAATCCTGGGACCGCGAGTCCAACTGGATTGGCTACATCGCCACCACGTCCGACGAAACATCGAAAGCCCTCGGTCGACGCGAGATCTACGTAGTGTGGCGAGGAACCACCAGAGACTATGAGTGGATTAATGTCCTTGACGCCAAGCTTGAGCCTGTCGAACCCCTTTTGCGAGTCGATGAAAATACCAACAACCAAAAAGATGGTAATAGTAGCAGCAGCAGTGACAGTGATGATGAAAACAAGAAGCAGCCTAAAGTGATGCTCGGCTGGCTGACGCTTTACATTTCTGACAATCCCAAATCATCTTTTACAAAAATAAGTGCAAGGGCACAGCTTTTGGGTAAGATTAAAGAGTTGAAAGAGAGACACATGGATGAAAACGTAAGCATAGTGTTCACTGGGCATAGTTTGGGGGCTAGTTTATCAATTTTAAGTGCTTTTGATGCGGTTGAGAATGGCATAGTCGACGATATTCCTGTTGCAGCTATTGTATTTGGTTCACCACAGGTGGGAAATAAGGCTTTTGATGAGAGAATGAAAAGGTATCCGAATCTTACAATTTTGCATATAAAGAACACGATCGATATCATTCCTCACTACCCTAGCTTGTTGTTGGGGTACGTTTATACCGGGACCGAATTGGTAATCGATACGAGGAAGTCTCCGAGCTTGAAGGACTCGAAGAACCCCAGTGATTGGCATAATTTGCAGGCAATGTTGCACATAGTAGCAGGGTGGAATGGAGAGAAAGGAGAGTTTAAGGTGAGAGTGAAGAGAAGTTTGGCTTTGGTGAACAAGTCTTGTGCGTTTTTAAAAGATGAGTGCTTGGTGCCCGGTTCATGGTGGGTGGAGAAGAACAAAGGGCTTGTGAGAAATGAAGATGGGGAGTGGGAAATGACTCCACCGACCGATGAGGACTACCCTACACCTGAATAATCTTTGGCGACTAATAGTTTAATTTGGTCTTCTTTTTCTAGCTTTTTGTTTTGTCTTGTTTCATTTTTATGTCTTGGTCCCTTCATCTAGGAGATTTGCTGCAAATATAGGAAATCAAGTGCTATTTCTTAGTGTAAATTTTATCTAAATGCTAAAACAAGTATCTGCCAAAATAAATTGATTTTTATAAGGAAAATGTCAAATTTATTCACTGCTCACGGTTCAACATCGCAGTCTTGTTACCTCAACAGTTTTCTTCGTCGATACTTCAGTCTTTCATCAGTCTTCGATTAATGGAAGTGTTTGCCTCTTGATATTGAATATTCGTATACTGATATTTCTGATGTTTGAACCGAAATCTTAAAAAACAGTAACAAGTTCTTTACCATCAAAAGTAAGTAGATTCATGCTATACAATTAATATTAAAAGAAAAACAGAAAAGGAAACTTCAAGACCTTCTTGCCTAACAATCCAACGGTACATCTCCATCGGTTTTTCGTTTGGTTTATTAGAGAATCTAATGTAAGAAACCGAAATTTAAATTTGAGAGAAAGATTTTGATGTTACTACCAAGTTGAAGAAACCATGACCGTACGGACTAAAGGAACTGACAATGGCGATGGTGAGACCGCTGCTGACGGTGAAGGTAGGGAACGACCTGATACAAACTAAGGGAACTTTAAGCGGATTGTTGAGAAATAAAAGGAATAGGTGTTTTACTAAACATGTTGGATCTCATTTGTAAATCTACTTATATATATTTATATAATATTAATAGCTTAAATTCGTTTTACTAATGTAACGGCCTGAAATATTCTAAGCTGATGAAAGCCGCAGATAATGGCGCAGGCTGTAGAAATTTATATTTCTTCCTTCTTGCATTGAATAATTGTTTGTGTAACTATTATAACAAAAATAAAACATTTTCTTCATAAGGATCCATTCTCCCTGTCATTTTGCTCTCTCGCATGTCATTGTTTTTTCCCTTTTATTTTTAATATAGATAAACAAATTGGTGAGTTTGTGTAGGAGAGTGCGATGTAAAAAAAGATGAGACTAATTCATGGCGGAGGAGTGGAGACTCAGATGCTATCGGTTTCCGATTCAAATGCACAGGCCTGCTGGTGGTAAAAATCTTCTTTTCTCTTTATCCCTTCCGTTCAATTTTTAATTTTTAATTTAAAGATGTTCGACTGAATATGGTACGTGGGTTGAAAAAGGAACGGGTCAGGATCACTGATGATGAGAACGATGTCGAAAAGGTTCTGGTAAATATAAGAAAGAGTAGAGGAGAAGTGTAGACAAGGTGTTTGTAGAAATTCCAGGATGAATTCCATAAAGGTTCAGTATTGATGTACATCAGCTGATTACAATCCTTTATTTGTAACTAACAAACCAAGCAACAACATTTCCCTCCAATTCTAACCAATTACAACAGCCCTAACATATTCCTGGTAACAGAATTATCTCTGTTTCATGTTCTGATTGGATTTTAATTTTATCTTTGATCAGAGAAGACTAATAATTGTGATTATCAATTAGAGCGCCTAAAGATTAAATTGTATATATATGTATTAGGGCATCTATTCCTTGATCTTTTATCTAAATTTGATTTTCTTAGTTATTCGTGTTTATTTATTATTTGTCAGAATATGAAGACTGCCTAAGGATGATCTAAATAACGTTGCTAATTTTATGGAAAGTTTTCTGCTGAATATTATGTGATGATGAATTATTTTTTTGGAACCCTAATGAGCTCTACTGGATGCCATCTCTTGAGAGTGAATACATGAACCAACTGGGTTAAGTCTTGGGTTTGTTGGTGATCTTTATCTTGGTGGAGAAAATGTTATGTAGCTCGTCTAGTTGTGAAATAATGATAAGTGGAAGTTGATATGAGCATATTTTTAGATCTTATTAGGGGCAAAGGTTTTGTAGAGGAGTTTGATGTCATTTATGTCACATATTACTTTCATATTTGATCATATTGGGTTGTGTTCGTTCATCATTTGCTTGTAGGTGTTTCCCCTTCAAGAATGGGTGCTGGACTCTTGCAGGCTTACTGAAGTCAAAAAGAATTTACCCTTGTCCTCTAATATTCTTTGTGCTGCAGGTCTGATGGCCTCCAGCACAAACAAATCAGTACAAAAAGAAGCTTGTTATTGAATTTTTTTCCCCTGATAACTATTCCTAGATTTTAAGGATCTTTTATGGGGTAAGAAGTAGAGCTGAACATGGTAATGCATTTCACATGCTTAAAGACATGGAGGAGACATGTGATGATACAAGACCTGTAGAGCAGGGGCCTTCTAGTGCTACATTGCGGCCTTCAGATTTTATTGAAGAATTTGGTTCTGTTTCTTTGTCATCTTGGACAGCTTCACAGATTTTGTGGGAGAATGGAATGCTTTCTGAGCCAATTCCAAATGGTTTCTATTCTGTCACTCCGGTGAGGATTGATTCATCTCGTTTGCGATCAATTGTACTGCACTTGCTGTTAACTATTCTTAATTTGTGGTTTAAAATTTCAAAGGATAATGAGTTTATCCTTCTTCTCCATCTTTCTCTATTACCTTGTTCTTATTTATACTAATTTTCTAATAGCTAATGTGTATTATTTTCACTTTATACCCTTGGTAGCTTGAAAGTTCATTCTATTGCTTTTTCCCTCCTTTTCAAAGATAACTTTTCTCCTATATTTGTATTTTTCCTTCATTTTCTTATCTGAAATTGCCTTTGAACCATTCTTTTGAGTTATTCCGACATCCTTAATCTTTCCAAGAAGAGAGTGAGAGAGAGGTAACATTTGAACTGTTAAATCTATTTGATTTTGCTAGCCAGTTGTGGTTGGCCAATCTGTACTCACGTAACAATTTGATAGTTTTTTTGGCTTACCAAAACTCCTAATATGGATCAAGTTATAGACATCATTGTTTTTCAGGTGATATGGAACTAATGACTTGCTTCATCAGGTTATAAATTATTAGTATAAGGTACTGCATATCATATTGTTGAAGAGAAAATGGGAATAAGGTGATAATACAACATAATAGTAGAATATGGTAAGCTCAATGAATGCTTTTTACCTTGCCAAAGAAACATAGCTAGGAATTTCTGCCAAGGATTTTACAGATTCCTTGAAACATGAAAACAAAATATGCACTTCTGCCTGTTTAATGTTGATATTTGGTTGATATATGGCCAAGTGTGTTGGTGAACTAACAGTAACACTTGCATGATAAATGCACTTAGATTTAGTCTCGTTTATTATAGTTATTCCTCAAGTATAATTATTACCATTCACAGAATAAAAGGCTTAAGGAGCTTTTTGATACTATTCTTACGTTGGAAGAGCTTCATGCTTTGGGTGGTGAAGGTTATAGAGCTGATATCATTCTTGTGGATGCTGAGAAAGATAAAAAGCTATCTATGCTGAAGCAGTTGATTGCGGCACTGGTTAAAGGATTGAACTCAAATCCTGCTGCAATGGTTAAAAAAATTTCCGAGATGGTGAGAATAGTCTTATATTTTGTTCTTTTATACCCTTTCTTCCTCTCACCCTCCTCTCCATTGTTCTCATTGCCTGTGTTCCAGATTGGCGACAGTTCCCTTGTCTATTTCTTAACCACATATGACTAGATGCTATTTATGCTGTTGTTATCAGCTTTATTCAAGTTCCTTTATTGAAAGCATCAGCAGTCCATGAATGAGCTTTAAACGGTGACTCTTTTGGTGCCACTTATTTACCATACCATGTGAAAATAATTTCCTACTTTACCACTTTTAATACATTTTAGTTTGTTCTGGTGATATATTGGAAATAGTAAAACAAAATGAAGTGTTTATTTCCCTTTATTGCAGGCTATTTTCTATTGGTTTTTGCTAAAATGTTGAACAATATTGCTTTCCCATAGAATGCAGACAATTTAAGAAAAACTGCCTGAAATAAAACACGGATGTTTATGTTTGGGCCTTTGGAATCATATTACATTTCTTTAAAATTTCTATACTTGGAATTTAGTGTTTTTCCAAATGTTGATGGAATAAAGTCCTTGTGTGTGCATATAGTTTAATTCTCTGCAATAACATTAATAATTATGTAGGAATTGAAACCTAAAGTCAAAGATGGCTACTTTAACCCTTGAACCATGGGACAAGACCATAACTTCTTAATTCTTTTCCATTTCTCTTTCTTACTCTTATTCCTCTTGCAAAGTCCATTATAAGTATTTATTTGATCTTCTAAATCAAAGTTCTAATCTGATTCTTGTAGCTTTCTTTGTTTTACCTTTTGGAACTCCTGCTATTTATGTAGGTTTCTGATTTTCATAAGAGCCAAACTGCTGAAAGTCCAGCAAGAACTGCACTACAAGAAACCTTTCACATGTTTGATAATCGAAGTGCCCAGATGTTGGGAAAAATAAAGCACGGTTCATGTCGTTCCCGGGCAATTTTGTTTAAAGTTTTAGCAGATACGGTAGGGCTTGAAAGTAGGCTCATGGTGGTAAGCGCTTCTTGTGTTCCCTACCTCATCAATTTTTGGGTTAGGTTAAGGGATTTTTTTTCCTTCTTTCATGCATATCAGATACCCGACCTAGCACAGTTTAAAAAGTTGATGTTGGAACCAAGACCAGGGTTCAAGCCTTGATAACCCCATCCCCCTTCCCCAAGTTTGTAATGATAAAAAAAATAAATATCAAGTTTAGATCTTCTGAAATATAATTTAAATGAAGTAGAATATGTTTCAAGAGATTCTTTTATCTATGAACAAAAGGCTACGACAATTCTCATACATGATTCTTTCAGGGTCTGCCAAATGATGGGGTTATTGAGTATGCAGATTCATATAAGCATATGTCTGTGATAGTTGTTTTAAATTCTGCGGAGCTATTGGTTGATCTTATTCGGTTTCCGGGTCAGTTGATTCCATGTTCAGCAAAGGCTAGTCTTATGACCCATATCTCAGTGACAACAGAGATTGACTCTGCTGAAAATGACTCGTGTGATTCACCATTGGAGCCAAACAGTCCTCTTTATGGATTTTCTGAGAGAGCTGATCCTGACAGGTCAGTAGATACATCCCCGAATTGTATGTAACCTTCATTTTTAGCTTCTTTGGCATAATTTACTTGATCACAAGTGCTTGTGAGATGTTTAAAAAGTTATGTTATATTTTTCTTTTCTTTTAGATAAATAGATTGGTATTATTCTTTGCTGCAGTGCTGAGAAAGATGAGAACCTTCAGTTCCATCAGAAATTGGATGGTTCTTCCAATGTAAGTGGTGCTTCATTACGAAATATGATGCTACGATCTTCCACCTCTATTGATGAGAAGTTAAGGTGATAATTATCGTGATATCTGACTAGATAAAAGACAACTTTGATTGAAAATTATATATGCTACTGCATGTATGATATTACAAAGTCCTAATTTATTTTTTTCGTTTTCTCCCACAGTCTGTCATATACAGAACCCAACATCACTACTAATTTCCGGCGTAGTAGCCGAAGAAAGGTCATCACTGAACAGTGGACTGCCAGTTCTTGGTTCCTGTCATCCCCTTTTGTGTTTTGGATTTATATATGCTAAATGTAAGTAGTGTAATTCTATTATTGTTTGTTCGGTTTTATTTTGACTCTATATTCATGTTGCACCCCCTAGTTATTTTTCAATTGTTGTAGATGGAATGCCATGTTGATATACTGATGTAGAATAAGTTGGAGAACAGTAGTTTAGATAGAAAATCAGAGATTCGCAGCAACAATCAGGATGAAATAGGAGAGGAATAGAAGAATTAGGGGAAAGAAAACCAAAATACATAATAAAGGGGGAAAATCAGAATATTCTTCCTCCTAAACCTAACCAAAAAACTAATATGTACCACTAGCTGCCTAAACCCGTAAACCCTATTAAAATGCAGTAATAGATATAACCCCACTTAACAATATAAATAATTTACATACAATATCACTAGAGAGAGCAACTGAAATTGCTTCCCCTTCTCTGTCATGCATGCGGTAAGTTTTGTGAGATTATCCATCTCCGAGAAGAAGAAAAAAGTTTATCCGAGAAGAAAAAAAGTTTATTCATTCTGAAATCTTGATATGTTAATATTTCTTGTTCATTATAAAATTTCAATATCTTTGCAGTCCAGAACGTTCATCATTTCAAACACGTGCAAGGTCCATGCTTAGTGGAAATAGGAATTCACCTATAGATTTTGCTGATGGAGTTGCTACATCAAGGCTCTTTCTTGTTTGACACTTTTCAGTAAATATAACCCACATTTTTCAGCCAGAAGTCATGATTTTTGCTCTTGTATTTACTGAAAAACATATGTTGGTATGAGTAAAAGTATTTTTTATGCTCAGATAGTAAAGTTGTGATGGGTCTGAGGCCTTTATGTCAAAACATGCAGAGTCTTGATCCTCCTTGCTCCAGTATCTTCTAGTCTGCTGCTAAAAACTTTTCCTTTATGTCTTTGAGTTGGGTGTGGAGAGGGTGCTGAGAAGTGCTTGGAATTTCCTTCTTATGGTTTCTGTAATATCTGCAATTTTTTTATTCATACCACCTTTACCACTGCTCTTGATAGATTATGGTGTTCTGTGTATAAGTCACTTGTTTATTTATCTGGTAGCTTTTCTCTTGCTTATTAATATGGATCTGCTCTGAATTGGATTTTCTATTTTTAATTTGATACACTAACTTTAAGTAATCTGATTTCTATCCCCTTTGCCTAATTTTGTAAATTACTCTAGATTGAAGTGCCAAATTTTGCACTAATTGTTACTGTTATTGTTGAACTGTGATTACAGCTACAGATCTGAAGGTGCACCAAAATCAGAAGCTCGTAGAATAAGAAGTGTTAGGATGGCTCCGGGGATTGGTGATGATATCGTAAGGTTGATTTTTTTTTCTTGTTAAATAGTGTACATGATTTTATTTGATGCTTAACTAGCCCAGCTTTATTTTCTTCGATACCTTGTCCTCTTATGTTTTTCCCCCTTTCCCCGGGCATTTTTTGTTTTGTTTTGAATCTTGTAATTTAAGGTTACTTATGTATATTTTGAAGGCGCCTTTCCATATTTAAAAATATATTGTAGAAAATAGGTATTTTTGGTAAAAAGAATTTTGTTTCTATTCTCTTAATTTTCTCATTGAAATCATACAGAAAAGAGCCTACTAACAGGCATATTTACACTATAGATTA